GGACCACAATCGAGTTCAGAGGCACAAGCCTGTCCTTGTCCTGAGCCGCGAGGGGCTAACACATCGTTGGTAGGTGATCAGTGGTCTGTGTGTGTGTGTGGAGGTGCAGGGTCTGCTTGCGAGGATCGCTTGCCAAGTCCCCTCCTCCTGCCCTGGGCTGTTCTGGTCGCTCTGGTTTGGATGCCCACGTCTGAAACTGCCTGAGAAAGAGCGCGTTCTGTGGTTGCTTGGAGGGATGGGGGGGTTTGGAACCGGACCCCCCCCCTTCCCCTACTTCTACTTCTCCTCTCTCCCTCTCCTCGGCTGGCGGCGGCGGAGGCGGGGACGACGATTTCGTTTTCTGGGCCGGCGCCGGCGCCGGCGCCTGCGGCGGCGGCGGCGGCGGGGAGCGTCGACGAGGACGACGGTGGTGGTGGTGGTGGGTTGTGGTGGTGGTGGTGGCGGTGGTGGTGGTGGCGGTGGTGGTGGTTGTGGTGGTGGTGGTGTGGTGGTTTGTTGTTGTGGTGGTGGTGGTGGTGGTTGTGGTGGTGGGTGGTGGTGGTGGTTGTGGTGTGGTGGTGGTGTGGTGGTGGTGCAGTGGTGGTTTGTGGTGGTGGTGGTGGTAGTGGTGGTGGGTTGTGGTGGTGGTGGTGGTTTGGTGGTGTTGTGATGGTGGTTTGTGGTGCTTGTGGTGGTGGTTTGTGGTGGTGGCGGTGGTTTGTGAAGGTGGTGGTGGTGGTGGTGGTGGCGGTGGTGGTGGTGGTGGTGTGCCGGTTTGTGGTGGTGGTGGTGGTGGGTAGTGCTGCTGGTAGTGGTGGTGGTTGTGGCGGTGGTGGTGGTGGTGGCGTGTCAGATTGTGGTGGTGGTGGTGGTGGTAGTGGTGGTGGGTTTTTTGTGGTGGTGGTGGTGGTGATGGTGAGTTGTGGTGGTGGTGGTGTGGCTGGTGGTGGTGGTGGTGGTGGTTGTGTGGTGGGTTGGTGGTGGTGGTGGTGGGTTGAGGCGGTGGTGGTGGTGGTGGTGGTGGTGGTGGTGGTAGTGGTGGTTATCGTCGCTGCGTTTCGCCGTCGCCGGCGCCAGCGCTGGCGCTGCTCGTGGGGGGGGTTTGATCCCTGGGCTGCCTCTGGCATCGTCGCTGCGTCCCCACCGTCGGCGCTGCTGGCGGCCGCCGGCGCCGGCGCCGGCGCCGGGGGGGGGGCGGGGTTTCAAACCTCCCGCCCCCTTGGGATGGGGAAGGGGGGGGGGTTCGGGAGGGGGGGGTTTTGGGGGGGAGGGGGCTCCCCCTGGTTTTGATCGACGGCGCCGAGTGTTGGGGGGGGGGCTCCCCGGTTCGAAACGGGCGCCGCCGAATGTTCCCTAGACAAGCGCCCGTGAAACGCGTTCTCTTCTAAATCACAGCGTGATTGCGCTGCCCTGTTCTGGCAATTCATTTGCATTCACTTGCCTGCGCTGTAAATTCTATAGCTCAGGGGCCCAAGTCAAAGGCCTTGGCTGTGCGTTTGCTCCTCCAATCACGACGTGCTTTCGAAATGTCAGGAAGATTTCGTCTGGTAGACGCCATGATGAGAAGTGGCGGCTGATGTGGGCTACCATCTTCCTATCTCCGTGTGAGCAGATATTTCTATTCAGCCACCCAGGTGGTGCTGCAGCACTGGTGTGGAACTGTCCTTTCTTCCGGTGGTGTGGGCGTTACTACCCAAAACAAAATGTTTGAGCCTTCTCGGGGCCGTCGTAAGCGTTCCTGGGGCCATTTTTGGGCCTCTTAGGGCCTTCATGGCATCTTTTGGGTTGCCCCGTGGTCATTTCGGAGAGTCTCAGGGTCGTCTGGGGGCGTCTACTTGCGGTCTGGGAGCGGTCTTGGGCCGTACTGAAGGAATTGTGTGGCGTTTTCAATCATCAACAGAGGTTTCAGCAAGTGTTGGACGCAAACTTCGAACCGCGATGACGAATGTGATGGTGATGACGACATCTGATGTTGTGGCTGCATTTCTTGGTGTTGCTGCTGTTGCTGCAGCTGGTGCTGCTGATGATGACGATGATGTTGATGATGATGCTGATGATGAAAAGGAGGAGAAGGATGGTGATAACGATGACGATGGCGGTGGTGATGACGATGATAATACTGATGATGACGATGATGATGCTGATGATGCTGATGATGACCATGACGATGATGATGAGAAGGATGATGAGGATGGTGGTTACGATGATGATGATGCGGAAGAGAGGGGGGGAGGAGGAGAAGGAGAAGGAGGAGGATAATCATAGTGAGGATGAGGATGGGTAAGAAGATGCTGATGACGATGCTGATTAGGATGTTGATGGTGATGATGGCGATGACGATTCTGATGGTGGTGATGATGATGCTGCTGCTGCTGATGATGATGATGATGATGATGATGGACTGCATCGTTACAGCTCTGCTTTTGCTCCTTCGAGTACGCATGGAACATGTTTGTCTGGTGTCTTGCTCTGTTCCGCCGGCCCCCAGACGAGGTGAGAAGTCCACGGGGACAACCAGGTTCAGGCAGGAACCCCGGTCGTTGCGTGCGGTGTGGGGCCGAGGGCTGCAGAGTCCACTTGACTGCGGTGTGGCTTCGGCAGAGGGTCGCTTTTGCGTGGCCCGTCCGCGGAGCCCACCCGTCAACGTGCGTTCATGTCTGAGCAGTCTCCTCGATCGTGCGATCGGGTAGGGGAAGAATTAGCTACCGGAAAAGGAGGAAGTGAGGGACGACGAACGCAGGAATCCCGAATTGCGGAGGAGCGGGAGGAGGAATACGGGAATGACCAGAACGAGCAGCACACCCAGGGGGGAGGGAACGAGCACGCAAATCTCCCAATCAGTGAGTATGGGGATTTGTTGTGCGACCGAACCTTTGGGCCTGTCTTGTGGCCCTCGCAGGGCCTTGTAGGATGTATTCGGGGCCTCAGGGGCGTTTTTGGGGCCATCTTGCCGTCACTTCGGGGGTCTCGGGGTTGTCTGGGAGGTTCTTGGGCCACTTGGGTGGGTTTGGGACTGTCTTGGGGCGGTTTGGGGCAGTGTTGGCAAAGTATTGGGATGCTCTTTGGAGGCCAGCTGGGAGCTTATGGGGCCATGTCCGGACCACATTCGGGAGCTTGTTCGGCTGTCTGGGAGCCAGCTGGAGGCTTCCTGGACTGCTCCTGAGGCGCCCGGACGCTTTTCGCAGCGCAGACCTCCTTCCATGGGACGGGCTCCTCAGCCCAGGCCTTTTTTTTTTTTTTTTTTTTTTTTTTTTTTTTTTTTTTTTTTTTTTTTTTTTTTTTTTTTTTTTTTTTTTTTTTTTTTTTTTTTTTTTTTTTTTTTTTTTTTTTTTTTTTTTTTTTTTTTTTTTTTTTTTTTTTTTTTTTTTTTTTTTTTGTTTGTTTTTTTTGTTTGTTTGGTTTTTTTTTTTTGTTAATATATATATATATAATCAAATTTAAACAAACAGTTCAACAAAAAACGGGCCCCCAGGGCCCGGCGAGGGGGGCCACCGCAGGCCGAACCTTTTCCCAGCGCTGAGGCACGCTGCGGGTTCTGCTGGCGGCGCGAGGGGGGTCGCGCCCCCCAGAGGCTCGGCGACTCCTGACGGCTTCTGCCGTCGACTTGCGGGAGTCAGGCCAGGTACACCGAGGCACGTCCAGGCAGATCGAGGCAGATCCAGACACAGCGAGCCGCATCCCGCAGACATCCGGACAGGATGCTTGCCGGCGTGGACTCCCAGCAGCAAGCCAGGGCACCGCGGTTGTGCGAGCCATGAGGAGGAGGAGGAGGAGGAGGAGGAGGAGGAGAGGAGGAGGAGAGGAGGAGGAGGAGGAGGAGGAGGAGGAGGATGAGGAGGAGGAGGAGGAGGAGGAGGAGGAGGGAGAGGAGGAGGAGGAGGAGCGGAAGGAGGAGGGAGGAGGAGGAGGAGGAGGAGGAGGAGGAGGAGGAGGAGGAGGAGGAGGAGGATGAGGGAGGAGAGGAGGAGGAGGAGGAGGAGGAGGAGGAGGAGGCTGGTGCAAGCTGTGTGGTGCAAGCCGTGCGGCGGAGGCTGTGTGGTGCAGGGCCGTGGCGAAGCCTCGGCGGGGACCCCAAGGCAGGCGCGGCAAGGGATGCGGCCCCGAGGCGGCCACGGGCGGCGACGCGGCGAAACCTCGGCGGGTCCTTTGAATCTCGGAGCGACACAGGCAAGAACCCCTCAGCGTAAGTCTGGCCTGTCCCTCTACAGTCGGGGCCCTGAAGAAGGAACCCTTTTCGTTGGGGAGGGGCTCGGTGTTCCTTGCTTGTTCTGCAGTGTGCCTTGGATTTTCCTTAGGTTTTCGATACGAAATCGAAGTTCAACTTATGGAAAATAGGGGCCTCGTTCCTTATTTATGGTTCCTTAGGTCAACGCCCCGACTGTACAGGAGGAATATTCAAAAACGGTAAAAACAATTGCCAGGGGACATTTTCTTAACGTATTTTTGTTGTCGATTCTGGGGTATTGTTTGGACATGTTTTGTTGTCCGTCCAACATCTGCCTGTAGGGGGACGTGCTCGACCTAACCCTAAGCGCAAGCACTGCCAGGGGAAGTCTGGAGAGCTCGTGGGGGCCCTGAACGATCCGGGGAGGGGGATCACGAGCACGAACTGCGTCGCGGGGCGAGGCTGGCCCGCGCCAGCCGCCAGGCTGTCCCCTCGTCCTCGTCCTCGTCCTCGTCCTCGTCCTCGTCCTCGTCGTCGTCGTCGTCGTCGTCGTCGTCGTCGTCGTCGTCGTTGTCGGCCGCGACATCGTCGGCCGCGTTATCGTCGGCCGCGTCGTCGTCGTCGTCGTCGTCGTCGTCGTCGGTCGCGCTGTCGTCGGTCGCGCTGTCGTCGTCGCGCTGTCGTCGTCGTCGTCGTCGTCGTCGTCGTCGTCGTCGTCGGTCGCGCTGTCGTCATCGCGCTGTCGTCGTCGTCGTCGTCGTCGTCCTCCTCCTCGTCGTCGTCGTCGTCGTCGTCGTCGTCGTCGGCGGGCCCGCGTCGGCGTCGTCGTCGTCGGCGGGCCCGCGCCTGCCGCCAGGCCGCCCCCTGACCCCTGGGGCGCCCCCCCGGGCGCGGCGTGGGACCTGCACTTCAGCCGGGCGCGTCCCTCCACAGGGGGGGAGGTCCAAGGCCAGTCCAAAGATGGTCTGGGGGGGGACGATTTTTGCAGATTCTCTCTGTGTCCATTTTCTCGAATCTTTTTTGGGGTACCCTTTTTTATTTTTTTCGTCCAACTCCGCAAGACAGGCATTCAGTATGAACAGCAAGATAGTTGTAGGCGTTCTGCGTGTTTTCGGCCACTGGCTCAGCGTTGGGCTGCCCGATGTATGGGTTGACTGATTGGCTTTTTCCCGACGTGTGTGTGTCGAATTTAAAGGAACTTGATAAAAACAAAAAAAATCGTCCAACTCCGCCTGCATGGGGGACGTGCCCGGCCTAAACCTGCACGTATTCGGGCGGTGCGCCCGGGGCGCCGCGCGCCGGGGGATGGCCCATGCGGAGGGCCCGGGGCACCGCCAAAGAGAAAGAGGCCCGGCCGCGGCAGGCGAGGGGCACGGTCGGGCGCGCCGCGTGCCCGCAGGGTCCAGGCGTTGCCATTTCTCTGCTCTTCCTCCTCTCCTCCTCCTCCTCCTCCTCCCCCGCCTCCTCCACCTCGATCCTCCTGCTCCTCCTCCTCCTCCTCCTCCCCTCCTCCTCCTCCTCCTCCTCCTCCTCCTCCTCCTCCTCCTCCTCCTCCTCCCCCTCCTCCTTTTCGTACTCCTTTTCCTCCTCCTCTTCCTCCTCCTCCTCCTCCTCCTCATCCTCCAGGGTTTCTTGACATCGGCGGCGAGCGATGGGGGGGGGGAATGAGAAAGAGAGCAGGGGGCCACATTGCGAACCCCACCCCTATCCCCCACGAGTTCTGTTCTCGGGAGCTCGGGAGCTCGGGAGCGAAGTGAGCCCCACCCTCCCCCTCAGATGGGGGTACACTTGGCTCGGGAGCTCCCGAGCGAAGTGAACCCCACCCTCCTCAGAAATCGTGGTGGGTAGGGGTAGGGTTCGCATGTGGCCCCATAACTTTGGGTTTCTTGATATCGGCGGCGAGCGAGGGGGGAAATGAGAACGAGAGGGCCTTCTCAGAGGGCGGCGGGGCTTCTCAGGAGCCCTCGCGCCTTCGGAGAAGGCTTCTCTATCTTCGGGGAGGGCTCCGAGGATTTCTCGGAAGGCCAGGGGACTGCCGACCATTCTGAGTTGGCCTTCTCCTTCTCACCACCCCCCGTCGCCCGCCGCCGATCATAAGCGTCGGGGGGTACCCCCCCCCCGACGGGGGTCAGCCTCGCCTCGTCGTCGCGCCGCGACGGGGGTCGGAGCGCCCTCGGCGCGCGGTGACTGCCCGCGACGGGGGTGGATGCGGGGCTGTCGGCGGGGCCGACGCCCCGCCGACGCTGATTGAGAAGCTTGGAGCAATGACAATGCGCGTTTGCGCCATGGTTCGGGCCCCAGGGCCATCACATAAGGATCTGGCTCGCAGAGGGACGCAGAAAGATGGGGTCCAAGTAGGGTTCCGGTCGTGACTTTTCGCGATGTTGTATTTTTTTTTGAAACGTGGATTTCAGGGTAATAGGGGGGCGATCTATTGGGGTGTGAAGAAATGTGCATTTTCCGTGCACCCTGGGGAGGGGCCTCAAAGCAGCCCCTGGGGCCCAACAGGGGACAGAAAGGTGCGCGCTTCTTTGCTTCCAGCTTCCCCGAGCCTTCGCGTTCCCCGCCTCTGCCCCTGCGAGCGGCGCCGACGTCGAGGATTTGCTCCCGCTCCTCCTCCTCCTCCTCCTCCTCCTCCTCCTCCTCCTCCTCCTCCTCCTCCTCCTCCTCCTCTGCTGCTTCCAATCCCGGCGTTCTCCCTCGACGTCGACCTCATGGGGGGGCCCGTCCTCGGGCCCATGGGGGCCCGCCAGGCTCGAATCCGGGCCCGGGGGCGCTGCCCTCAGGGCAGGGGGTCGGGGACCTGCGGGCCCGCGGGTGGACAGAGACGGCACGCCTCCTCCTCCTTCTCCTCCTCCCCCTTCTCCTCCTCCTCCTCCTCCTCCTGCTCCTCCCTCTCCTCCTCCTCCTCCTCCTCCTCCTCCTCCTCCTCCTCCTCCTCCTCCTCCTCCTCCTCCTCCTCCTCCCCTCCTCCTCCTCGTCCCTGATGGGCCCGTGCCCGCGCCGTGCAGGGCCCGCGGTCTGAGGGCACCAACTATACTCCAACACCGATCCTGGCCCAGGATCACCCTGGGCCCAGGATCGGTGTATATGCCTTCTTGCGCAAGGCAGGAGGGCGTATACACCGATCCTGGGCCCAGGGTGGTCCTGGGCCCAGGATCGGTGTTGGTGTATAGTTGGTGCCTTCCTACGCGGGTGGACCAAGACGGCATCGTGGGATGTCCGGGGTCAGCACGCCGAGGTAAGTCGGGGGCGGAAGAGAGGGGGGTGATGACTAGGGGGGGGGGGATGGATATCATGGCGGGGGCCATGCTATTTCCTGAGATTTTATGGCGCCTCTTCTTATTTCATTACGTCCCTGGCCCCCCCGCTGGGCCGCGCACATGCCGCCGATCATGATTTGCCCCCCCCCCCCCCCCCCCCCCTTTTGGACACCCCTCTCTTCGCCGCTCCCGAGTAAGGAGAGCATTCCAGGTTCGGAGTGGGCTCGCTGTTCCCTCGGTCCCTCTGTGGCTGATCCTCCTAGCGCTCCCCGTGCACCGATGGGGCTCTTGGGGCCAACCGTTGGGGGCTGCGTTGCGTACCTGGCGTTCCTCACGGTTGTAGGCTGTAGCTTGAATGTATCCCGAAGGAGAGTCTCGCAGGCCTAGAGGTTGACACCAACACCAAGATCGGCGGCGTTCCTCCACCGAGGGAAGAACATCCCGATCTCGGTGATGGTGGTCATATTCTGGCTTCCAAGCTGGCCGAAATATTGCCACCAACACCGAGTTCTAGGATCGTCTCTACCCTGTGGAGGCAGCCCCGTGTCTTGGTGCGGGTGCCCAGTTCCAGGCGTCCAAGAGGCACTTGCACGAGCACCACCTTCTGGAGGTCCACGCGGATATTGCTCGGAGCGGCGCCGGGGCCTCCGGGGGCGCGCGCCGCGTGCGCCCAGGAAGGGGGGGCGCTCCAGCGCCGATGCAAGAGATCCGCGCGGGCCTCGGGACGTTTGTGCTTCATGCCGCCCTCTACAGTCAAACACCCGAATAAGGACGCGCCACTTTGCTCAGGGTATCCTCGCGTCTTTGCTCGTCCCTGCTCCTGCCAGGAGGGGGGCGCTCCGGCGCCGATGCAAGAGAAGTCCGCGCGGGCCTCCGGACGTTTGTGCTCTATGCCGCCTTCTACAGTCAAACACCCTGATAGGGACGCGCGACTTTGCTCAGGGTACCCTCGCGTCCTTGCTCGTCCCTGCTCCTGCGTCCTGGAGGTTTTCGTCGTCCGCCGCCCCAGCAAAAATCCCAGCTTCGGCTTTTCCAAGGGTCTCGCGTACTTGCCGCGCGTTCTTCTTTTTTTTCCAGAGCGCGAATTACCTACCCCGCTGTCGCTTCCAGGCAAAACCAAGTCATACCACGCGCCTCCTCGTCAAGCGGCCTGACCAACACAGGCCGTAGTCTGGCATCGTTTGGCACCTCTTGGAAGCGAGGGCGGTCAAAAGCGAGGTCGGCTTGTGTTCCCCCAATTTTTGGCTGTACCTTCTCCTGCCACGGGCGACGAGCAGGCCCATGTCCGCGCCCATCGCCGTCTGGATGCCGAGGTTCCCGGCCTCATGGGCACGCGATCCCACGGATGCGTTCCGCGCGATCGCGTGCCCACGGGGCCTCCCGGGCGCGCGCCGCGCTCCCGGGAGGGGGACCTCGGCGCCGATGCAAGACGTCCGCGCGGGCCTCCGGACGCTTGTGCTCGTGCCGCCTTCTAGGGCCACGTCCGCGCCCATCGCCGTGGGGGTGCCGAGGTTCCAGACCCCATGGGCACGCGATGCCACGGGTGCGTTTTCCGCGCGACCGCGTGCCCACGGGGCCGCGGTCGACCGAGGAGTCTGGGAGGCCGCGAGGCCGCGGGTGTGCGCCTGCCTCTCGCCCTGGAGGCCGCTGGGGGGTCTGGGGCTGCTCTGGACCGGAGGTTGATAGACCTCCTCCTCCTCCATCCTCCTCCTCCTCCTCCTCCTCCTCCTCCTCCTCCTCCTCTTGCTTTCAGGGGTGGACAGGCCTCGTACCCTGACACGTCGATTAAGGAATTGGCTGTTTTTGGTTCGCGAGAGGGCGTCGAGGCCGTCACTTTTGCGGGTCCAGGTCCGTGGGCTTCGGTCCCAGGCCGTTTTCACGAAGGGGAGGTTTACTAAAGGGAGGTTTGTCCACCGCCGACTGGACGGGCACCGGCAGAGCCGGCCAGGAGAGGAAGGGGGCAAATTCGCATTCGGTGCCCGCTGTTCGCAGTGAGTGGTCAAGTCCACCGCTCGCGCAATCATCCCACCCACCCGCCCGCAGCTTGGTTTGCAAAATCCATGCGGCGGCGACTATGGTGGCTGCTTCGCGTTGGCTGGTGCATCGCTGCGGCCGCGTTAGCGCGCGCAGGCTGGCGCGCCGGGCGGCTGGCTAGTCTGGCGCGACCGACGCGGTCGCGGTGGCGCTGACCGTCTGGGAATTTCCAGTGCGTCTCGCAGGCCGCGCTGACGCGCGGGCACTGCAGTGCGAGTCGGTGGCTCGGGCGGGCGCGGTTTCATGGTGACGTTGGCAACGGCAGACACGGTGATGATGATATCTGCGATGCTGACGACGACGGTGGCGACGATGGTGACGATGACGGTGAGGTCGAAAACGGCGTCGATGTTGATCACGCTGATGACGATGACGGTGCCCACGTGTCAGTGGTGATTGTTTGGGGGAGATGTTGACATGCGCGCGCTGGGCCGAATGGCGCGAGTGGGCCGCGTGGCGTGACTTACAGAGATCGCTCCCCCCCACCCGCCCCCGCAGCACGCGCGGAAAGGCGTCCGAATGATGTCGACATGCGCGCGCGAGAGGCCCGCTTGGTCGGATTTGATGAAAATCTTGGAAGCCGACGGCGTTTGTAAGAGTTCGCAAAATCGC